GTTATTTTTTTTTTTGCTTTTGTTATTGTTGTTTAGCTGGCCTGGACCGGGTTCCAACCGACCAGCCTGGGTGTATGTGGCCGGCACCTTAACCACTTTGTGACAGGCACCAAGCCATGAATTTCACTTTTAATTGAGTGAAGAGAACTATTGCTGACTTATGAGAGTAAATGCAGTTACGTAATAAGTATAGAAGGGATATATTCCCTCATGTGTCATCTAACACTGAAGAAAGGGGATGGAATGGCATCCACAAAATTGGTGTACACATCAGACATTTTTGGTTGATACAGTAGAAATAAAAGGCCACCAATACCGGTATGTAGAATTTTCTGCCTTATTTATATCATACGTTATAATCTGTGTATGTTTTTTATATGACAATGTCATTATGAGATAAATGCTAACTCTATAGCTTTAATTTGTACAAGAAGTGGAGATCATGAAAAAAATGTAGATTTTTTCCAGACGATATTGGGTGAAGATTCCATTTCCTAATTTCCAACAAGCTCAACAGGAATGACAATGCTTCAGTTTCATGATGATCTTATGTCAAACATGCAGTGAACTGCAGACACTGGATTTACCCCAATTGGTTCCTGAACCAGTAAACAAAGATGACAAACTTTACTTTCCAAAAAAAGGTATATGGAAGAGAATCTAAGAAGAAAGGGGTGCTTCCTCAATAAATGTTTTGATTTGCTCATATTAGTTGATAATCTCCCTAACTTCTTATTAAGAATACAAAGATATACTGAACCTCACAAAAGAATATGTGTCCAATAGCACCGTAACTGAGTGAATAAAATTAACATCAACTGCAACAGGACAAATTAGTATCAGGTGCTGATTCACAAGTGCAAGTCCAACATCACTGGTGTAATACTACTGGCCAGAAAAAGTCAATCATAATCTGATAAAAACTAGGTGAGAAAAACCCAGTTTTGGCAAAGTTCCAGGTACAGATATCTGGCATGTCTTCTGATCTCTCATCCTGTCTTTAAATAGCTTTCTTTCTTTCTTTCTTTTTTTTTTTTTTTTGAGAAGCCTCAAGCTGTCCCTCTGGGTAGAGTGCCATGAAATAGCTCACAGCAACCTCCAACTCCTGGGCTCAAGTGAGTCTCCTGCCACCGCCTCCCAAGTAGCTGGGACCACAGGCACCCACCACAATGCCTGGCTATTTTTTTTTCGGTTGCATCCATCATTGTTGTTTGGTGGGCCCGTGCTGGATTTGAACCCGCCACCTTAGGTGTATGTGGTTGGCGCCTTAGCCACTTGAGCCACAGGCACCGAGCCAATAGCTTTCTTTACCATCCCAGAAAGCAAGTCTTTTCTAATTATTTTGTTTATGAGAACTTTGAATTACTCAAGGCAGTTAATGCCATCTTCTGTAAAAGTGCATGGACCTCATCCTACTTTACATAGAACCGATGGAACTTCCAGATACAAGTAAAACAGTACATATTCTTCTTCTTTGCTACTGTCCAATGACACAACCTCATCCACAATGAAAATCTTGGGCATCCACATTTTCCCACTAGAACTTATCAGAGATTTCACACTTTTCCCATATATTCAGAAAATAGTCACATATTGAGATATTTATAGTTAAAAAAACAACCACTACTGTCAAGAAAAAAAGATATATTAGCTATACAACTAAAAATTGAAACTATTAGTCATAAATATATAAAGCTTAAAAAGTGCCCATTCCGATACACTGAGCTGAATAATTCCTTACTTAAATGTAACTTAACCACCTTTCTACCTCCTGCCAATAGACGTGCCAAGCTCCCCTGAAGATAGTTATTATTATCTGGCACCCAGGGTTTTTCATCCATCCCTGCTACAACACAGGGAAACTTTGTTTGCTAAGATTCACCCTTTTTCTACCCTAGGTACAAAACCTTAAGTTTTGTAAAGTAACTTAAGATATTGACTGGTCTAAAGTAACTTAAGATATTGACTTCCCTGCAAAGTATAATAGTCGACTACACCTTTTTAGCCCTGCTAAATACACCAATTTAGCCATTTTTGTCATACCAACAATAGCTATTGGACTCAATCTGAAAATCAGTCCATTGGCCTGTGCCATCGTCAAGGCCCTTAATACAACTTCTCAAACCATAAACACTCTGAGCATTGAATTAAAACAAGTATGAGAAGCTATACTAAAAAATCAAGCAGCCATTATTGATGATTAAAACACAATCACAGATGTCAAAACTTTAAAATCTATATACCGCATCAATTTATCTAACAGTTCCCAACTCATTAAAAACAAGTAAACATGTAGAAAAGTCATAGTTCAAATAAAACAACAAACAAGATTTTTCAGAATGACCAACACTTCCTATCTAAACTATTGTCATAATTACCCAACATTACCTAAGTCTGTACCGTTATAGTTATTCTTATGTTATATATTATAAGCTTCTTAATATATTACAAAATACAATGTATACTATTCATATGTACTGGTTGTTTCACAAATTTCTTTCTTTTTTTTCTTTTTTTAGACAGAGTCTCACTTTGTCACCCTCTGTAGTGTGCTGTAGCATCATAGCTCACAGCAACATCAAACTCTTGGGCTTAAGTGATTCTCTTACCTCCGACTCCCAAGTGGTTGAGACTACAGGTTCTGGCTACAATGCTAGGCTTTTTTGTTTTGTTTTGTTTTGTTTTTAGACAGGAGTTGTTACACTGGCTCAGGCTGGTCTCAAACTCAGGAGCTCAGGCAATCCACCTGCCGCGGCCTCCCAGAGTGCTAGGATTACAGGCCTGAGCCACTGGGTCCAGCCTTGTTTCACAAATTTCAAAGACAAAATTAACCAGTACAACCCGCATGTCAATTTAACTAACTATAACAAATTTAGAATTATTTTCATTTTAATTCAATTTCATAGATGAGAAAATAAAAGTAGAGAATGTGGTAGACACAGATACCCCCACAACTATTTCTTAGCTATTTCTGAAGTGGGAATGCACTTTAAAACATAAGAAGAGGAAGTCAGACAGGCCAAACCAGAAATAGAAAATAAAGATAATAATCGTGAAAAAAAAAAAAAACAAGGAAGTAATGATGCACTAGAGAAAACGTTAATAAGCATGTTAAAGATGTTTTATTGATGGCGTGGGGCCTGTGGCTCAAGTGGCTAAGGTGCCAGTCTCATACACCTGACCTGGCGGCGTTCGAGTCCAGCCCATGCCCGCCAAACAATGACGGCTGCAAACAAAAAATAGCCAGGCTCTGTGGCCGACGCCAAGTAGTCCCAGCTACTTGGGTGGAGGAGGCAGGAGAATGGCTTGAGCCCAGGAGTTGGAGATTGCTGTGAGCTATGATGTCATCGCACTCTACCAAGGCCGCCAGCGTAAGGCTCTGTCTTATTCCCTTTATATTAAAGTATTAAAATTTGTTACATACAAAAAACAGCATTTAAAAATCACTCTCGCTATTCTCCAGAATTACTATCCTGTCTCATAAGAAAGCCTTTTACCCATCAACTCCCTGTCCCTGTGCTTAACTACAACCACGGTAACAGAGTGAGCCACCGCGTCGGGACCTCCAAGAATGAAGGGGTTGGGGGCCCCACAGACCACAGCCCCTCCATGAACAAACCCCACACCCTCAGTTGGGATTCTCCTCTGAGGACCCTTCTACTGTCACCCGAGGGAGGGACCCCGGGCGCTGCAGGCACACAGCTGCTCAGGGAGCTCTGGGCCGTGGTCCCCGTAACAGGTTCAGAAACTCTTGGAGCAACAGGGTCCCAACTCCCTGCCCCCCACTCCACCTTTTGCCAAGTGGGCTCCGTGGGCCAAGGGGTGCCGGTGACAAACTTTAGTCTGAAGACGCTAAAACTGAAGGGAAATGGCCGGGTCCGCCACAGCCACTTCGGGCTCCAACCACGCCCCTCCCCCTCTCAGGACACCCAGTCTCCTGTACTCACCATTTCCCAGCTCCCGGGATGTCCCGGTGTCCTCCCTACAGATCTCCCAGTACCTGCAGGTCACAGGGTGACAGAGGCTGCTGCACAGACACCTGGAATCTCCAGGAGATGGAACAGCTGAAGAGGGGGCTCCAGCTCAGAGCCCAGCTCAAGAGACAAACGCTTCTCAGAATCCCAGGGTGCCGCCTTCTCCCTTCTGGCTTTGCATCTGATTGGACAGTTCATATTGGAACATCCCTGATTGGATAGGGCCTAAGACCCCACCTCCTTGACCTTGAGTGACAGGAATGCCATCCAACAAGAGGCTGGAAAGGCCCAAATGCGAACAGGTCTCTTCCCACAGCACTTTTTTTTTCTTTTAAACAAAGGGCAGGCTGTAGTCTCAGCTACTTGGGAAGCAGAGGCAAGAGATTAGCTTAAGCCCAGGATTTGGAGTTCGCTGTGAGCTGTGATGCCACTGCACTCTACCCAGGGCAACAGCTTAAGGCTCTATCTCAAATAAATAAATTAATTAATAAATTAAGGGCAGGGATCATGACTATAACGTGGACTTTTCCTAACAAATTCTATAGCTCTTTCTACACATGGCTTTGTGCCTTCTCTGGTGTGCAGCTCTGCCTGAGGGATATTTGTATTTAGCACTGAATATAAATTATATCACCGCTAAATAGAAATGAATTTCAGTTATATATATATGTGTGTGTGTGTGTGTGTGTGTTTCTATACAAACACAAAGTAAATACACGTTTTCTACTTGGGAAAACAACACATTAACAATTATTGATATGTATTTTATTGTGAAAAGTTATATACAGAGTAGATATAAAATTCGTGTGCAATTTACAATAGTTTACTATTTAAACTTAAAATTTCAGGGTGGACTTGGCATCCACAGATCAGTGGTTAGGGCGGCAGCCACATACACCAGGGCTAGTGGATTGGAAGCAGGTCAGAACCTGCTAAACAAAACAAACAAACAGACAACATAATAGCTCTGTCTTGTGGGCACCTGTAGTCCCAGTTACCGGGTAGGCTGAGGGAGGAGAATCTCTTGATTCCAAAAGATTGATGTTCCTGTGAGCTGTGACACCATGGCACACTACTGAGTGTGACAAAGTGAGACTCTGTCTCCAAAAAAATAAAGTAATAAACTGAAACTTCGTATTTCAGTTTTAATTAAAATACTTTACTATTTATATTGCACATGAACTTTACATCCACACTGTATTTAGAATTAGCCAGCTGGACTTTGTATTTTTATTTATTTATTTATTTTTCTTTTTTTTT